TAGTATCCATTTGACATAGCTTGGACTTGCTGACCAGAACTCAACCAGATGAAGGTAAAGAAGTGTAATACCAGGAACAAGGGTAAAATTCCAACTGAAAGGGAAAGACTCTACATAGCAAGGATCACCATATATAAAATTTTACTCAACATGGATTAAAGACCTAAATGTAAACTTCAGTACATTGGGTTGGCAGGGACAGGCAACTCAGACATCACCACACCAAGACTCCAACTGAGACATTGGCTATCAAAAATGGGGGCTACAAAGGCACGAAGCGGTTGGCTTACAAGCTTTCATGAGTGTGCTTATTTTCAGAACAAGGGGAGTAAGGTAGAATCTCCATTGAATAGTTTCCTCTTTTCCAGATGTGTCTGGTGAAAGTGTGTGTGGGAGGATGGGGATAGGATTTTAATATTCATTTGTGTGTAATTCTTATCAGGACTAATTGTGAGTGTCACAACTGAAAATGTAGAAAATGTGTAACTAAAAGTGGGGAGTGGTTTATGTTTAATTTCAGGAACAGAGGACCCAAGGACCAGCAAGAGAGAAGAGCATGAATGGAGTGTAGGATCCTAACCAGAAAAGTGGTGACATCAGAGACAGTGGCAGAGGCCATGGCATAGAGAGATAGAGCAGCTGAGGACACTAGACCCATGGCCTAAGTGTGCCTGCAGACAGAAGGCTGGCTTGTAAAGTGTGCCCTTTGGACATTTAAATGAATGTGTATTTTCTGTTTTGTACGTGAACATCAAAAAAAGGAGATCAACCCTATTGACTGTTGGTACTTGGAGGGGATTGTAATCATTGCAATGAAGCAAAATATGATTTATTGAACGTAAAACTGATAATCTGTCCTGTAAACATTCGTTCAATTCACAATAAAACTGTAAAAAAAAAAAAAGGACAAGAACAAAAGAAAACAACTCTGTTTATACTAGGGATTCTCACCCTCAATACTGCTAACATTTTTAACCAAATAATTCTTTGTTGTTAGTGTCTGTCTTATGCCTTGTAGGATATTTAGCAGCATCTCATCCATGACTCTCCACTGGATGCCTTCAGTTCACCATTCCCTCCTTCTCTTTATCTGTAGTGATAACCAAAACAGTCTTCAGACAGTGCCAAATGTCTCCTAGGGGGCAAATTGCCCCTGACTGAGAACCACTGACTTGAAAGAACAAGCAAAGGGCTGTTCACAGATGTGCAGTAATATATTTAACTGGTGTTAAATGGCAACCACTGAGTCATTTGGGTTTTTAATAAAAAAATGTTTTTAGAATTTTGTTGGTATCAATAAAGCTGCAATGCCTATACTTTCATTATGTAGTTGGGCAAAGATAGCTGAATTGTAGAAGTTTGAAGTGAAATTGCTGGATCGTAGGAAACGTGTGTTTAGATTGTGATGGTGCCAAGATGCCCTCTGAAGAGACTAAGCAAATAGCACTACCTGCATCACTTTGAATATTTACACTCCATTTTTTACTTAAATGACATCTATGAAATTATGTGTTTAAATGATAGTATAGATTTTTCTGGAGTTCTGGGTGGTGCTCTAGGATAAGTGCTGGACTGCTAACCTCAAGGTCAGCTGTTCAGTCCCACCAGCAGCAACTTGGAGATCCTATACAGGATTTCTATGAGTCGGTACTGACTAGATAGAACTTAATAACAACAGTATAAATGTAAACATTTTACAAATTTCCTTCATACACAATCAAAAATCATCTTTATACCAAATGTTGGGAAATGCTAGTTTTACCCCTTTTACTTTCAAAATGAAATGATTGATATCGTTGGATGCCATCAAGTTGAGTTCTGACTTACAGGGTTTTCTAGGCAGTAATATTGATAGGAACAGATCTCCAGATCTTTCTCCGCAGAGCAGCTGGATAAGTTCAAACCAGCAGCCTTTTGGTTAGCAGCCAAACACTTAACCCTTGCACCACCAGGGCTCCTTAAAGATGACTAGAAAAGGCTCTTTCAAATTATGCTGATCAATAGTTAACTCTCTTAGGATACTTATTCAATTAACTGATTTTGCTCAAGTCACACTTTTATGATTTTATCCACATTTGGTCATATGCCTTATTACAAAAGCAGCCCTTCCTCTCTGTGTTCTTGCCTTCATCTAGATGAATGCTGTAAAGTAAAGGAGGGTTTCCTCTGCTGTGGGATTTCTTCAGTGACCCAAGAAAAAGGCATTTGTAAATGTCTTTAACTCTGTGTGAACAGAAAGGGATATTTTTCAAGTATTCAAGTGTGTGAAAATAAAACATGGGTAAAAAGTAATGGCTGTCTTGTGTGTGTGTGTGTGTGTGTGTGCGTGTGCGTGTGTGAGAGACAACTAGCACTTGAGGAGGGGTTGAAAGCAGATAGAACGACATGGCACACTGATTTTTTAACATAATCCCCTTCAGTATTTTACTATTCATCACCTGTCATATACATGGAGGGTCATTGTTATCAACTATTTGGCACAGTCATCCCTGAATGTAGCAAAGGTTATTCCTGGGCACCCATTGTATCTTGCCATTCTTCTCAGCATCATCAATCACTTCTGTAAGTACAGAAGGGTCAGGTCTTAGAATGAATCTGGTCATGTTCACTGAAGCAGAATAGGACCCCAGAGTACTGGCTTAGGCACAGATGAATGAGGTTCTTAGGCACAGTAGAATGACTTCTACTGGTGCCCTTGGCAGGAGTCTAGGGGGAAGGACACAGATCTAGCAGAAAAAAGTCAGCAATGAGAAATGGTGTCAGGGAGTTGGGTAAGGGGAGACGCAGAAGTAGAGTGATTCAGGTATTCCTCATCAAAGATATTTTGAAAGGCAGCCAGCAAGTCCCAGGCCTAGGATGGAGGAAGCCTAGCAAGACTGAAAGACTCTAGGAGCCAACTGTATGCCAAGAAGTTTACAGAAAAGGAAGCAAAATCAAAGCAAAGACACAGAAGCATGAATTAGGGCTCATGGATTGGGAACTGGGAAAGGGATGAGAGTTGGTCACTAGAATCAGAAACCTCACCAGGGCTAATCTAATCAACGGTACAAGTTGCTTGCCAAGTCTGTGTCAGTGTTGGTCTCAGGAGGCTTAATAATCTCTTGATTCAGGTTAATATTAGCCCCCAATATGAAGGGTGGCATTGAGCATGCAGGTGGCAATCAAATGGTCTAGTGGTGGTACACAGCAGGAATTGGACCTCGAGTCTGCTTGGCAACAAAATAATATTTCTCCCACAGCACCCATCATACTATTCTCCACCAAATAAATAGACATGCCAACTTTGAGTATGTCATCCATCCTGTTACCAGAAGATAAGCTCTTTGAGAGCAGAAATGGTATCTTGATCATCGATGTATGTAGAGTGCCTAGCAGGGTCTGATATACCACATGTTCAATTAATATTTGCTGAATACGCAAAGGAAGGCAAAGATGGGTTAACAAATGGGGATACATCTTTGTTGGTGGGATACTTCAACAGGTCTTCTTAGGATTCTGGTAAAATATCTCTACCTCTAAATTCTATACCATTTATTATTTTTATTCCATTATCTCAAAACAACTTGTTGGTTAGAAAATAATAAAAGGACTTGAGTGGTTTCTTCATACTGGCAATGAAGGATATAGAGATTAGGGGAATTTTGAATCATCATTATTTCCTTGTAATATATAATATTATTATATAATATTGACACTTAATGCCTTAGAAACATGTGGATTAGATGACAGACAGGGTCAGTCTCTGAGAAATGGTCATATTACATAATTGAGAACATCTGGTTTCTTGTCCTCCATGATTGAGATTCAGACCTTGAAATATGGGGCCTACCCAGGGCCTGAAACTGTTTGTAGGAAAAAGGAGACTAATAATAGATCACAGAAACATCTGGCTCACAGGCCTATGTTGTCCATCCTTCATATTATTTTGTTTTATGTTTTCAAAAAACATGCTCTCTGGTGCCTCGAATTTTACTCATCATATTCTTCAGGCTCCTGACACCTTCTCACCATTGGCTCATATTTTGGCTCAAACACTGATTTAGCTTCAGATTTTGTCTTCTCTTGAGAAATCCAACAATCTACTCACACTGGGTCTGCTTCCATACATGACTGCTCAGAAGTGCTGTCCTGGCTCCTACCCATCTCTATTGTCTCCTGGCCATGAGACTCCATGTCGGCTGAAGCTTATCACTGAGCTTAGCAATTACTCTTATAATAAATTGAAGAACAAACTGTCTTGCTGTGTATATTTGACTCATTTACGTGACCTGCCTGGAGAGTGTCAACATTTAAGTTTGAGAACCCTACTTAATGGGCATCCCTTTTGGTATTCCTAATTACAACTACCATTCATTGAATCCTTATTATAAGCAGGACTTATATATTATAAGTCCTTATATACTAAAAGAGCATGTACTAAGAATTTTTCATACAGTATCTTCTTAATCTCTACGGAATCTATAAGGTAAATAGGCTTAGTGGAAATTGTGGAAATTTAAAGTTTAAAGTTCAAGTGTGGAAATAGAAATTTAAGGAGGTTAAATGACTTACCCTAGAAAACTGCTAAATGCTGACACTGAGATTCAAACCTTACCTCCCTGAGTTCAAATTTAGGGCTTTGAAACTTTGTACTACCCTGCTTCCCTAACCAATAGTCTCATCGCAACAGACTGACTGCTATGAGGCAGTGTTTTTCCTCAATACTCAGCCCAGGCAGGTAGACTACCAGGATGAGGAACTGAATATCAAAGAAGGGTTCAGGAACACAGCCCTTCTCTGGATACGACCCAGGTGAACACCCACTCAATGCCAGTCCAGAGTGGGTGCGTTGTTGGCTCTGAGAGCTATCTATCGATAGGCTGGATCAGCAGGACAGGAGGTGGCGGAGTCAGTGTGACTTATAAATCACTAACTCTGGCATTGGTGTGTGTGTGCATGTACACAGGGAAGCTTGTATAAAGGGGCTCAAGCTCTAACCTTCCAGTGGTCAAACCTTCAAGATGAGGAGGCTGCTGCTTTGGGTTGGTGAGTGTAACATGTCCCACCTTCCATTGTATCACAGTTTAGGAGGTACCAGGCTTCTTGAATTTCTTGTCTCTAGTGGCTGAAAGAGCAACCTGGGACTCAGGGGGCCTGGATTAAGTAGATGTAGGATGGGACACTACCACCTGTCTGTCAGTTTGTCATTCTGTGGTGCTTGCATTTTGCTATGATGCAGAAACATCAAAATCCCAATAGGATCACCCATGGTGGGCAGGTTTCGGTAGATCTTCCAGACTGAGACAGGCTAGGCAGAAAGGCCTGTGAACTATTTCTGAAAATTAGCCTGTGAAAACCCTTCATTGGATGAAAACCTTTCATTTATCTGGAATATTGTCCAAAACAGTGCTGGATGAAGAGTCCTCTAGGTTGGAAGGCACTTAGAATAAACTGCCTGCCACAATGGCCTAGATCATGTTTCTTTCTGCTGTACGGATCACCAGGAGTTGGAGCCAACTTGATAACAACTACCAACTTGTTGTTGTTGTTGTTAAGTGCCATCAGGTCGGTTCCATCCCATAGCGACCCTGTATAGGGTTTCTGAGGAGCAGCTGGTGAGCTTGAACCACTGACCTTGCAGTTCAAATGGCTTTGTAGTCTGGAGCATTAACCCACAGCGCCACACCAGAACTCCAACTAACAACTTAGTTATTAGTTATTATGGGACATGGTGTAGGGTCAGAGGTGTCCAGGGAGGAATGACCATGGTTCTCAAACCTGATTATATAAGACAAAATTGTGCAATTAAACCTCTCATGGAGGAGCCCGGGTGTTTAAAAGTACTACTGGTTTAAATCTTTTGCCAGGATGTAAAAACAAAACAAAACAAATTGATGTCCCTGTGCAATGTTTGTGAGTGTGCTCATTATGTGTATTTGCATGAAAAGGAACTTGTATCTGGCTCCACTTGCCTGGTTTTTGAGATGAGAGAATGAGTGACTGACATGTGCCCTTCATTTGTGTGTCTGTCTCCGAGTGGCAGCCTGACTGGGCTGGGCACTGTGGATTGTTACTCTGGCTGTGCACATGTGTCTTAGTGTCATTCCTCCTTTTGTATCTTGCAGGGTTGGTTCTTGGACTGGCACACCACAACGGTAAGGAAATTGTGTTCTCCCCAGAGCAAGGGAGACTCTCTGGCTGAGAGGTCCTCCGTGCTAAGCATCCTATGCAGTTCCACCCTGCCCTGGCTCTTAGGTCTTGGATGACTGATACCATTTAGGTCAACAGAGGATGTCTAGTCATTCACTATGTATCAGGATCCAGACTGAAGCACCAGGACTTTGTATCCCTTCTAGGAGCACAGTAGAGGGGAAGGAGCCTAGATCTCAGGGTACTTTTGGGGAAGGTGGGGGAAGGAGTTACAGTGGCTTGGACTCTTGAGCAGGGGTTCAGTGGGAGCTGAGTGCCCCCCACTTCCTTGGTCTTTGTCAATGAATGTGTGTTCTTTCCGGCCAGATGCTGCTCACAAACTAGTGTGTTATTTCACCAACTGGGCATACAGTCGACCAAACACTGCCTCAATCCTGCCCCAGGACCTGGACCCCTTTCTCTGCACCCACCTGATATTTGCATTTGCTTCAATGAAAGACAACCAGATTATTGCAAAAAATGCCCAGGATGAGAATATTTTCTACCCAGAGTTCAACAAGCTTAAGGAGAGGTGTGTTTCTGTTGGAATGTGTGTTTGTGGGGGTGGGGGGGTAGGTCATATTTCCAGATTTTCCTTGTATAGATTAAGCTGGCTTCTCGTGCTCTCTCCCACTTTTCTCTGATTCTTCCAACCCCAACCTTCTCTTCAGTGTGGCTCCTGAGGCCTCCTCCCCTACTTAAGAACTCTGTATTGGTAAGTGCCCCCAGTACTTTCTTGCCTCCTTGTGTTTGGGCTAATGTTGCCTCTGCCTGAATGTCTTCTCTCTCTTCCGTGCCAGACAACCACCCTTTAAACCCTCCCTCTTTCCTTCTACTTGCCTTCCCCTTTCCTACCCCCACCTCCCAAATTCCCTAAAGGAATGACGGGAAGGAATGGTAGCTGCAGCTGCCTTCAGGTATGAGGACCCAGCTTACCAACCCTCTCTCCCACATCACAGGAACAGGAAGCTGAAAACACTGCTCTCAGTTGGGGGATGGGACTTTGGCACACCAAGGTGAGGGCTTACCTCTGGGATGGGAGAGCATGGCAGAAGGGTGGGTGGATGAAGAATGTTGACTAGAAGTAAGGGCTGGGGAGGGGGAGCCAGGTTGGCCACAGCAGTAAAGAACTAATGTAGGCACTTCCCCAAGTATTGGTCTGGTCTGGCTGGTCTTGGCTTCAGAGACCTCTTGATCTCTTCTCTATGGTGGTTGGGTGGGTGGACTTAGGAGTAGGAGACAGAGAAGTTTTAGCAGAAAGGATAGAGGAGGGAGGGGGGACAAAAATAGAACACTAAAAATTGTCCCCTTGATCCTTCATAAGAGGCACAGGTTTTATTGTAGAGAGGGAAGAATGTTGTCTAGGACAAGCTTTCAGGGCCTGGGTCTAACCATTTTTAAAAAATTTTAAATGTATATATACCTTTAATACATTTTTTTAAATACATGTGTACTGAAGTTAATTTAAAAAATAATACTAGGATTTATTAGTTAATTTGTTTGAATCAAAATTAATATATGAAAAGGAGAAGAAGGCCCTAAAAATAGACTATAAATTAAAGCTGCAAAAGAAGTAATAGAAATAAACCCTACATATGACAGCCTATCACTTCCGTAAAATAGGGTTCAATGGCAAAAGGCAACTGTGGCAAAGAGCTAAGATACTGATACTTAAAAGTAACATCAATGTTGGTCACACAAAGTTTTTACTACAATTATTCGTGTCATTAATATTCTTTATAAAATCTCTGAGGAGTAAACATGAGCCAGACTGCCTTTAACAAAGAATGTACACACAGACACATAAAAAATTAGTGTGCCACATTTTATGTTGCTACCTAATTTGTTTACACATATTATAATAAATAGGTATAATATGAGAGAAAGACAAGAATGTTATTAATGCTTGATTAACTTGCCAATATGTAAAGAGCACCACATATCCTGAGAAAACTAGAAAGTCATGTTATTCTACATATTGTGTCTTTTTTTTTTTTTTTAAGGTTTTTATTGTGGATTGAGTGAACGTTTACAGGGCAGATCATCAGTTTTACATTCAACAAATCATAAACCTTGTTTCATTACAATGATTATAATCCCCTCCATGTACCATCAGTTAACAGCATTTGTCTCTATTCACTTTAGCTTTTTTTAAAACAAAACAAAACAAAAACAACATTCAGGCATATATAGTAATTTACACCTCCGAAGGGCACATGCTGCAAATCTGCCTTCTGCCCACCAGCTCTTATCCGTCTCTTCCATGAGTCTAGAGTCCTCAGCCATTCCCCTTCTCCATGTCCCCATCTCTGCCTCCATCTCTGGTGTCGCTGCTTCTCTGGATAAGGTCCCACATTCTGCTTGTGCTCTTCTCCCTTGATGGTCCTAGGGTCCTCTGTTCTGGACTGTTAGATTAACTACTACCCTGGTTTTGTTATAAAACTTCTACCTTTACAATTATGGCAGTCTCAATTAGTCATGATAATAATTATTCACTATTGAATTATACGAATCTTATCCCTATTTCTTTTCACCAGACCCATCTAGACAGGATGAAAACTATTCAGTTTTGGTGTGGCACTGTGGGTTAATGCACCAGACCGCAAAGCCTCTTGAACTGCAAGGTCGGTGGTTCAAGCTCACCAGCTGCTCCTTGGAAACCCTATACAGGGTCGCTATGTGTCAGAACCAACTCGACAGCACTTAACAACAACAACATACTCTTAAACTAAACTCTCTCTTGAAACCTTGTAAGCCAGTCACTTCGTGCCTTTATTGCCCCTTCATTTTAGGTAGCCAATGTCTACGTTACTTGTCCCTATCTACCCTGTGTACAGAAGGGATAGCATTGAAACTTGATGTGAAGACTCCTTCCCTCTCAGTTGGTATTTAGAGTTACTACCTCCAGAGTATAGGTCAGGTTCATCAAATTGTAGCAATTTACTGCTGTTTCCTTTAACCAAAAAAAAAAAAAATTTTTTAAAATTATTTTTTTGGTAATCTTCCTCTAGTCGAGTTCCGATTATCAAGCCATCAAAGCTAGGTCAAATGGGTACTATCTGCAAGTTTGGCTGTTCTTGTGCATCTCTCCTCACTTCATATCAGCTGGATGCTTCACTCTCAGCTCTAGCCCTCTGTGGCTATGTCCTTGTTCATGGGCTCAAGTGTCCCCAGGTCTCACCACACATTAGACCAAACAGGCTTTCCTCTTATTTCTCTCATCTCCAGGTCAATGGTAGTCAATGGACTGTGGTTGAACTCAGCCCATTTCTTCATTGCTGCCTTTACCCCTTTCCACTCACCATTAGACCAATGTTGTCGCCAGCAAACTTACATGCCTCTTTGTGTGTTCCCTCTGAGTTTCAGTCTTAGAGGGGAGTTTGTCCTGAAGGAACTTGATTGCTTGCCTTGATGACTTCCTGGTGAACAGCTTGCTTATTTTTGTAGTAGCCAGTCATGCTGACATTTTTGTTTTGGGTTTTTCCTGATCTTTCTTTGAAGATGTATCTTCTGTTGCTCTAGCTGTTCCAGGCTGGTCTGCTTGTCCTTGCTAGGGGGAATGTTTCACCTCATAAGGTTGTGGATGGGACTCAGGATTCTACCTAAGGTCCTTATACTCTGCAAAAGCTTTGCAAGAGGCCTATTTCACTGGCAAGTTCTAGAACCCCTTTGAGGTATTTCAATCAGTTATAGGCTGAAGATGGGCTTACAAGTTTTCTGTAATCATGTTTCCCAACATTCCTTTCTATCCCACTCAAGTGTCTATTTTACAATAGAAGGCAAGGGAAACCAATATTCATAAGACAGTCAAGCATTTTAATATTATTTCCCCTCTTCAAACTATGACTAGATCCCTATATCACAGAGCCCTGTTGTTCCAAGGTTGAACATGCATCACTATTTACCTCTGTCCCACTTAGGCCATGCAAACCTCTCTTAGCATTCCCCTATCTATCTTGTTCTTCCACCTTCTACCCATTCGTTTATTGCCCTCCCCAACACCTGAACTAAACCCCCCACCCAACCCCACTGTTGTGGTTACCTTAACTATTCCCTCCATTTAAAACAGTCTATTTTATCCTGTAATCTACCTGACCTTCTCACCATCTGGATCTCTGTTCCTCTGTATTTACCTTCTTTCACATTGTAATTGCTTTGATCATAGATTGACCTCCCAGATTCTCTGTTCTTATAATTTTAATCTGTTCTTGACTCTTCCATTTGTCGATTGAGTTCAGGGTGATGCTGTCATTTACGTCATTCTCTAGTTGCTGTCTGTTCTTGTTGGTTCTCAGTCCACAGAACATCCTTTAGGATGTTTTTCATAGCAGGGTTGGCTTTGCCAAAATCCCTTAGCTTCTGTTTATTCTGGAATGTGTTGATTACACCATCATATTTGATTGACAGCTTTGCTGGGTAAAGGATTCTTGGTTGGCAGTTTTTTCCTTTCAGCGTTTTATATATCTCTCCCCATTGCCTTCTTGCCTGCATGGTTTCTGTTGAGAGATCTGAGCATAATCTGATTAGCTTGCCTTTGTATGTTACACTTCTGTTTTCCCTAGTTGCTTTCAGGATTCTCTCCTTATCTTTGATTTTGGAGAGCTTGATATGTCTTGGTGATTGTCTTTTAGGGTCTGTCTTTCCTGGGCTTCATTGAGCTTCTTGAATGCTTATTTTTTTCACTTTTCAGGATGTTAGAGAAATTTTCTTCCAGAAGCTCTTCAACAATTTCCTCTGCGGACTTGTGTGATTCTTTTATTTTGGAATGCTGATAATTCTTAAGTTATTCCTCTTCATGTTGTCCAACATTAATCTTAGACCATCTTCATATTTTTTTTATCCTTTTTTGTACTTGCTCTGCTGTCTTAGTAGTGTTGAGAGATTTATCTTCTAGCTCACCAGTTCTGACTTCTATCTCTTCACTTCTATTCCTTTGCCCTTTCAGTGTATTGTCTATTTCTGATATTCTATTATTAATCATTTGGACCTCGTTCTGTAAGTTTTGAATTGTTTCCAATGCTGTATCTGTCTTATTTGATTATTCCTGTAATGCTTTCCTGACTTCTTCCTTATTTTTCTCAGCTCCAGTGTATAGTGTTTTGATACATTTTATAATAACTTTTTCTGAATTCCTTCTCAGGCATTTCCAAAGCCTGTCCATCTTCCAGTATGGAGTACAGGTGTACTTCCAGCTCATTTGCCTCACTCACTTTATCTCATTTCTGGATATGTACTGATATGGTCATCTGTTTCTGTTTTTTGGGCATATTCAGGGGTTATCTGTGGCCTTAATACTTAGATGGGTGTGTATTTTGGTACTTTTTATACTTTCTGAATGCCCCAGGTAGATGTGATCAGGAGATGGGCTTTTCACTCTTCTTCCGGAGAAATTTCAAGATGCCACTGTTGGTCATTGTGATGTAACTCAGGATTTAATTTTTGGCCTGTTTCCTTTTTGGTCTGCCTGTCCCCCTCCACAATCCCCATTCAGGCCTTTTTCCTAGTGATAAACAGTTCCGGGTTGGCTGTGGCCATTTTGCACTGCTGTTTGGTTTTAAGTGGAAACTGTCACTTTAAATTTCAAGGAGATCTGTGCACATGCATAATAGAACCATCTGGGATTGGGGGTGGGTTGTCCACTAGCTCAGGCTCCCCCTCTAGTCACCAAAATGGATGTGTGCAGACAGTGAGAGACCAATGAAAAAAAAGAATGTCTACACCTTTATCTCCGCAGTTCTGTCAGGCGTCCGTGGTTGCTCTGATCCTTCCCCTGCTTGGTCTTTCCCAAGATATTGGCTTCAGGAGCAGCTGAGCATCTTGAATTAAAATGCAATGGATTTCTTGTTTCTGCTACAAATCCCCTAGCTGTAGCTTTCCAACCTTCTAAATATTCCTTTATATGTGGTTCAGAGTTCTGGCACCATCCCCTGAGTCTGCTTGGTCCATTATTCTGTGTTATTGCTGACGGAGCTTCTCACTGTACTTCTACTGGTTCTGCCATCTTGTTTGTTCTCCTAACCATTTTTTAAATGGAGCCAGTAATATAATCTCAAGGGACTGCATCAGACGCTGAAGTTGGTGATTGGCACGTAGTAAATGCTCAATACATGGAGCTGCTCTTATTAGCACTTTACCCTCCACAAGGCAATGCTGATTGGTTGTGTCATGTGGAGTCAGTTCCCACTCATACTATACCATGTAGGGTTTCTACATCTGTAAATCTTTACAGGATCCAAAAACCTCATCTTTCTCCTGACAAAGCAATGAGGGGTTTATAAAATGACTATTTCCTAAAGAAACATATCTCCAATTTCCTGGCTAAGGTCTGGGGTTGAGGCCAGTGCCAATCTTTTGGTCTTAAGGGGAATGAGATGAATGAGATGGAGACGTGGTGGCAGAGGCAGTGCACGGAATGCCCCTTGTAAAGATCTTCCAGTGCTAATAGAGGAATGATTTAGGGAGAATTAGGTGGTACTAAAGGAGTCCTGATGGTTAAGTCTTGGCTACTAATTGAAAGGTCAAGGTTTTGAACCCACCAGCTCTTTGTTGTTGTTGTTAGGTGCTGTTCAGTCTGCTCTGACTTATAGCATTTCTGTGCACAACAGAATGAAAGGCTGTCTGATATTGTGCCATTTGTTCTGTTTTAGCCCACTGTGGCATTGGGGTCTTGCTTCGTTTTCACTGATCTTTTACTTTTCCAAGCGTGAAGTTCTTTTCCAGGGACTGGGCACTTCTAAAAACATGTCTTAAATACACTATCTTCTTTTGAGAGGCATTCTTACTGTATTTCTTCCAAGACAGATTTGCTTGTTTTTCTAGCACTCCAGGGTACTTTCAATATTTTTCATCAGCACCAGTAGTTCAAATACAACAAGTCTCAGTCTTCCTTATTCATTGTCTAGCTTTCACATACATATGAGGCTACTGAAAACACCATTACTTGTGTCAGGTGCACCTTAGCCCTCAAACCATATCTTTGCTGTTTAACACTCGAAAGAAGTGTTTTGTAGCAGATTTGTCCAATACAATACGTCTTTTGATTTCTCGAGTGCCACTTCCATGAGTGGAGTTCTGGTGTGGTGCTGTAGGATAAGCACTGGACTGCTCATTGAAAGGTCGGCAGTTCAAATTCATCAGTTGCTCTTCAGAAACCCTATATAGGGTTGCTATGAATTGGGACTAACTTGATGGCACTTAACAACAAGAACAACAACAGTTTCTATGAGCAGTAGGATAAGCAGTGACTTCAAACTACAAGGTCAGTGGTTTGAGCCCACCAGCCATCCCACTAGAGAATGATGAGGCTTTCTGTTCCTGCAAAGGTTTATAGCCTCAGAAACCCTATAAAAAGATGACTATGAATCAAAATCAACTCAACGGCACTTAACAATATGAGCATTAATTATGGTTCCAAGTAAAATGCTGTTTATCAGGAGAAAAGACCTGGCAATCTGCTCCCATAGATTACAGCGTAGGAAACCCTATGAGGCAGTTCTACCCTGTCATATAGGGTTGTTATGACTTGGAATTGACATGACAGCACACAGCAACAACAGGTGATAACTGGCATCGCCCAACCCCGAGTTTCACTTCTGCTATGGCAACCACGTTTTGCCAGATGGTGGGCTAGATGGTTTACACACATTATCACATGATTTCCCAGAAAAAGCGCACAAAGAGGTTATTTGTATCCCAAACTTGGAGAAAAAGAAAGTGAAAGTCACAGGTCTGCAGGAACTTGACAAATTGCACTCAAGTGTCACTCAGAGATCACCCAGTGGAGTGGATGCATGATGTAACCCAA